GATATCAAAAAAGTACTCCAGAGTGTTGTTCAGCATGGGGGTGAGTAGAAAATGAAGGCTAATCATGTTTTGGGTGTACTATTCCTTTAATGTGAGGGATTGCTGAAGAGTCAATGAGTCGATGCAATCAGCTGGTTTTCCTTTGATAGAAAACTTTGAATCAATTTGTTGGGTAACAAATGTTGGGTAATTAGAACAAGAAAGGTTGAGAAAGAGAGAAGGATAAAAAAGGGGTCGTTAATTAAACAAGTTTTAGTTAAAATATAAAAGAAACATCGATTATCAATCAAACAAACAATGAACAATTTAAGGCAAATGAAGGGAGCAGCAATGCATGCACGCCACTGACCGACGCATTCTCATGTTGGCCGATACGGTAAAAGAAAAAAACCATGAAATATCATCCAGTTGACTGGTTTATCGGTTTAAGTCCTCTACATATTATTTTATTTTCAGTTTCTTTTTCTGTCATCGATCTCTGCAGGGAGGAGAGATGTTTGCATGATCGACTGTTACATTTACGACTATTGTAAAGAGAGAAAGAAAAGGAGGAATGTTAGGGGTAGCAGGGAAAAGACAGACGGATGTTCCTCAGTGACCTCTTTGACATCGTCTCTGTGTCTCGCTCTCAGATGAACGGCGCCTGGGAGGGTCTGAACCGAACATGGAGGGAGAGGATGGAGCGGCTGGAGGAGGCCATGACCGCCTCTGTTCAGTACCAGGATGCCCTGCAGGTTCGTTCCTGTGACTCCCTGCCTTTTCCTCATAGATTGAGCTCATGGGAAATATTCCAGGGTTTTCGCTGTGATTCTGTAGTGTTCAGATTTCTGTGTTTTGTTTCCAGTCGATGTTTGACTACCTGGACAACGCTGTGATCAAGCTGTGCGACATGTCGACTGTAGGAACTGATCTGGGAACAGTCAAGCAGCAGATAGAGGAGCTAAAGGTTTGTTTTTCTTTACGATCATTCTTTCAGATATTTTGTATAACTTTGGGTTTGTTTTTTTAAAATTAATCATCTACCTCCTCGTCCCTCTGACTCTGAGCAGCAGTACAAGGTGGACGTGTACCAGCAGCAGATTGACATGGAGAAGCTCTGCCACCAGGGGGAGCTGCTGCTGAGGAAAGTGTCAGATCAGACTGATCGGGACATGATCCAGGAGCCGCTGACTGAACTGCGCCACCTCTGGGAAAACCTGGGCGAGAAAATCACCCAAAGACAGGTGATGGAGATGAAGATGAAGCTGTTTTTCTTCTCTCTGAGTGATGAAGGCATTGGGGATGTTTTATTTTCAAATGCTTTAATCTCTTCTTTCTCTGCAGCACAAGCTGGAGGGCGCCCTGCTGGCTCTGGGTCAGTTCCAGCACGCTCTGTCTGAGCTGCAGGCCTGGCTGAACCACACTCACACCACTCTGGACACGCAGCGACCCGTCAGCTCCGACCCGAAAGCCATCGAAATCGAGCTGGCTAAACACCACGTGAGTCCGGACCCTGCGCCGACTCCTTTTCTGCCGTGTTTCATTTTTTACTCCAATTAAATCTCCTTCTCCTCCCCCAGGTTCTGCGTAACGACGTGCTGTCCCATCACGCCACGGTGGAGACCGTGAACAGCGCCGCCGCCGAGCTGCTGGAGTCCTCCCCGGGCGACGAGGCAAGCCACCTGCGGGATCAGCTGGATCAGCTCAACGGGAGCTGGGAGAGTCTGCTGCTGAAAACCAAGGAGCGACAGAAGCTCCTGGAGGCCGCCCTGCAGCAGGTAGGCGCAGCGGCTCCTGGTAAAACACGTCAAAGTCGGATAAACGTGGCTCGGTTCAGAGCGTCTCCTCTCCCACCTGTCTGTCTGCAGGCTGAAGGTTTCCATGGTGAGCTGGAGGAGTTCCTGCAGTGGCTGAGGAGGACGGACAGCCAGCTGTCTGCAGCCAAACCAACAGGAGGCCTCCCAGAGACCGCCAGGGAGCAGCTACAGCAGCACATGGTGAGGAGGAGTCAGATTACATCCAGGAGGAGAAATAATCCCAAAACACACTGAGCGTCGTCCTTTAAGCTTCCAGATGCTCCTTTTAGCTCCTTTTTAGAACCTTAGATGATATCAGATTGTTGCAGCAGTGCTGCAAAACTGAAATGTTCATGTAAAACAGAAGCTTAGCTCGTCCAGATGGTCTTAGCATGTGGTCCAAATCAAACTTTAATAAGCTTTATTGTTCCGCAGGAGCTCCAGGCTCAGCTGAATCAGCGAGCAGAGCAGTACCACCGCCTGCTGGACCAGGGGGAGTCCATGCTGCTGGCCCGCGGAGGAGAGGAAGCGGGACCTGGAACCACCCAGACCCAGCAGAACCTGGCCATGCTGCAAAACAAGTGGGCCGGCCTCAACACCAAGATGGACGACCGCAGAGTAAGTCTGGGGATTTCCCCGTGAAGCCTTTCACATTTCTGGTTGGATGGTTTTTGATGTTAACCATATCCAAAAAAAAACAAAACAACCTTCTAGGCGAAGCTGGAGGAAGCTGTTTCCTTGGCAACGGGTTTCCAGACATCCCTGCAGGACACCATCAACTGGCTGACGCAAGCTGAACAGACCCTGAACATGGCGCAGCCCCCCAGCCTCATACTGGACACCGTCCTTTTCCAGATAGATGAGCACAAGGTGAGCTCTGGGTGTCTGTTCATGCTGACAGACGTCTCATCATCATTATGTCAGAGGGAGGGAAATTAAAAAAGAAAAATATGTAGTAGAAACTATAGATTACGGTTATATTGTGCCAATAAACTCCCTAACTACAAAGTGTGAGCCGACATAACAGACAAAGTCTGAGTCAGAAAAAGGAGTGAAAGTTCGGTTGCCTTGGATTTAATCTTGTTTTGTGGTATAAAATAGTTTTGTTATAAAACAGGAAGTGAGATATTTTTTCCTTAGTCTCTATTTGCTTAAAGTAAAATAAAAACAACGCAAAAAAAATCAGGTTTTTTTTTCTTACTTGCTTGCTAAAATAGCCACCTAGCACCTCTGACACCCCTTTCAGAGACATAGACAGGTATGGGCAGAGATGGGAGGTAATGAAGTACAAATACTTCGTTACTGTACTCAAGTAGATTTTTCTGATATTTTTACTTTACTTTACTACTTATTTTTATGCCGACTTTTTACTTCTACTCCTTACATTTTTACACAAATATCTGTACTTTCTACTCCTTACATTTTAAAAAATTGGCTCGTTACTTTAGTTTCGAATCATTTCAATGGAGTTACCGTTATTATTTTTCACGTCATCAATACCAAATTCAATCTAATTGGATGGGAATCTACGTTGCATTTGACGCACCACTACAAGATGAATCGACAGATTCGGCGGTATTCATTGGCGGCAAATCATTGCAGCTTGGTGGCGGTGGCGTTAGCATAGTAGCATGGACGACGAGATGATTGAAAATGAACACAACGGAGATCTAGTCCTATTGGCAGACATCCATTTAAAATGTAGGCAACGGCATGAAAAAAGTGGTTTCTACTTTTACTTTTATACTTTAAGTAAATTTACAAGCCTGTACTTTGTTACTTTTACTTGAGTAAAGAAGTTTAATCAGTACTTCCACTTTTACCAGAGTATTTTTTAACACAAGTATCTGTACTTTTACTCAAGTACGGAAAGTTAGTACTTTTGCCATCTCTGGGAATGGGGCATTGCAGGCTAAAGACGACCCCCATTTTTAAGGAGTGGACCTGTCCGTCCGGTTGAGTTTGCATGTTTTCTAAAGGCTTTGTTGGTCCACTCTATAAAGCCTTGAACTCAACGCTATTTCTGGCATTTTGAATTGAAAAAGCTTCCTGGATTGGAAGCGAAATGCCTTCAAACTTGGAAACAAAGTCCAGTGGATTGTTTTTTAACTTTTTTGGAACAACCACCTAGCAATATTAGCACCAGTCAGTTTTTTTTCCAGCATCATGACTTTGAATCAATGGTCATCTAAAACTTAAGGGCTTGTAGGTTGGTTCTGCTCAGTGAGAGCAAAGGAAGGCGCTTCTAGGTTAGCATTGTTAGCATTTGGTGTTATTGCTAACCGTGAGCAGAAGCAAAATTGTTGAAATTGTTAAATGAGGAAGTTATGTCCCCTTGAAGGAAGTTGTGCCTCGGGACTTCCCTACCGGTTCTTTTCCTGGGAGCAAGTTATTTACTACTCTTAACTCAAACTGGGTTAAACCATATAAAAACGACTATAAAAACAGGAGTAAAAAAGTAACAGAGTTTATTCCAGATCAGGTTGTTACAGGACAGAGAAAATGCTTGGAGCTTGCACAGCTGTGGGCTCAAAAATCACGTCCGCGAGCGTCCGGCAAATATTGAGCCCCGAACAAGGTTATCTTCTCCTTCTTATACCTCATGAGTCTATGTGTTGGATCATGTGGATGCTTAGCTGTCCGTATCAGAAACTGACCCGCCATCCATGCCCTGACCTGTATGCATCTTGCCTCTATGCCTAAGGATTACAGATTGCTTCCCTTTATCAGTCCGGCTCCAAGATGTGCCCATATCCTGTGTATCTTTAAAAAACAAGAAGGCTGTCCTATTTAGATGACCTCTGTACACACAGTGACATCCACAATGTGAAGGAAGGCCTTCTACTCTAATCTGGCTAACAAAGTAACAATGCACATGATGTATAAAGAATAAACCTAACAAAATAAAAACAAAAAAAACATAAAATTAGAACAGAGACAATCAATTAAGCAAAATAAAAAGGGATAATGTAAAGATTATAGTAATAAAATAATACAGTTGTAAGGAAACCTACCTAAATTTGAATGTAAATTTCAATTTTATGTTGTTATGATGTATAAATTCTGTCATTGGCTTCAGACTCTGACTTTATTTGATTGTTCTGTGTCCCTGCAGGTGTTTGTGAACGAGGTGAACACCCACAGAGAGCAGGTCCTGGCTCTGGAGAAGGCTGGTTCTCAGCTTCGCTTCGCCAGCCTGAAGCAGGATGTGGTTCTGATCAAGAATCTGCTGCTCAGTGTCCAGGCCCGCTGGGACAAGCTGGTGCAGCGGTCCCTGGACCGGGGCCGGCATCTCGATGAGGCCCGGAAACGAGCCAAGCAGGTATTTTACTCATCTAATAAACAAAGTTTGGTTTTTTTATTTAAGGTTAAAAATATCTATATTTTTGGATCTTGAAATGTTTGGTTTAGTTCTGATGACTTCTGTTTAAGAACATAAATTAGGCCTTTTGTGTCTGAAAGTTAAAAATAAACCTTAATGTTGCTCTTAGTTCCATGAGGCCTGGAGGAAGCTGACAGACTGGCTGGAGGAAGCCGAGAAAAGACTCGATTCTGAGGTGGAGATCTCCAACGAACCGGACAAGATCAAAGTCCAGCTGACCAAACACAAGGTACCACAGAGAAGAACCGGCTCTAGACCGATCCAGCGCCTCTAGTTTCCCCAGTCGACGTCTCCTCACCCGAAATCTGGTTTTTCTCTCAAACAGGAGTTTCAGAAAGCGTTGGGGTCCAAGCAGCCCGTCTACGACACGACGGTGAGGTCTGGGAAGGCCATGAGGGACAAAGCTCAGCTGCCTGCAGACCAGCAGAAACTGGACCACCTGGTGGGGGAGGTCCGGGATAAATGGGACACCGTCTGTGGCAAGAGCGTAGAAAGGTACAGAGGCCGTGAGATGATCGCTGCTGCAGCTGCTTTGATTTAAATGAAAAATCAAATAACATATTTTCTCTTACATCCAGGCAGCACAAGCTGGAGGAGGCTCTGCTGTTCTCAGGTCAGTTTGCCGAAGCTCTACAGGCTCTAGTGGACTGGCTGTACCGCGTGGAGCCCCAGCTGGCTGAAGACCAACCCGTTCACGGCGACATGGACTTGGTTTCCAACCTCATGGATGCACACAAGGCAGGTTCCAATGCCGAAGAGTTAAACATCATCGTCTTCCTCTCCCAGTTTCAGAACGCCTCTGTTAAACTCAAATGTGCTTTGACTTTTCAGGCTTTCCAGAAAGAATTGGGCAAGAGGACCGGCAGCGTTCAGGCTCTGAAGCGGTCAGCTCGGGACCTGATGGAAACCGGGCGCGACGACACGGCGTGGGTTAAGGTTCAGCTTCAGGAGCTCAGCAACCGCTGGGATACAGTGTGTGCCCTGTCCGTCACCAAGCAGACCCGCCTCCAGCAGGCGCTCAAACAGGTCAGAGGATAAGACCCACCCACTCCCCTAAACGCCAAAACACAGAGACGTAAATCATTCTGAGCTACAACAAAAGGGATGAGGAAAGCATTTGTAAACTGAGAGGAAAATCGATGATGGCGCCACCACCATGTTTTACTGTGTGGGTAGTGTATGTAGGGTGACGTTCCCTAACAAACTATATTGATACAGATTTTAAAATAGTGCTGATCTCCATCAACTAGGGGTGTTTTGAAGGCTTTGGTTGTATTGTTTATTTTAAGGCATCAGACTGAAATTAGTGCATCGGATTTCCCTCCTTTGTTCGTCTACAAAGAGTGTAGACAAAACGAGGTCAGTTTCTCAATTCGCAAAAACGCGAATGCAGACTCATGTCCTCGCCACGTATGTTCTTGAGAAGAACGCAGGAAAGTGTTGACTTGGAGAGAACGGGAGCATGCAACATAAATATGGGTCAACTAGAACAGAAGCGTATCGATGACATCACCACACTGCGGCTCGTCTGGAGCTGCATTTCACTTCCTGTTATTAATAGCCTCTATATCAGGGGTCACCAACCTTTTTAAGGCTGAGGGCTACTTCATGGCTACCGAGTCATAGGAGGGGCTACCAATACTGACCTATGAACAAGAGGGATCAGTGTTCACCTACAGTAAATCTCATCCATAAAAACTCATTTTTATTCTTATTTTATTCTTTTATTAATTTCTAATTTTCTTTTTAAACCACTGAAATATGATGAAATAGTTAACATGATGAAATAATACATAAATGATTAATAAGAAGAGCAACAGAATAAAGAAAATTAAACTTAACCCACTGAGTGAGTTCTTCTGTTTTCAGAAGACGAAGAGGGCTCCCCATGTGGTCCTTGAGGGCCCCTCGGTGCCCGTGGGCATCGCGTTGGTGACCCCTGCTCTAGATAATAATAAATTCTTACTTTTCTTCTTTAGTCGGGGAATAATAATTAAAACAGACAGATAAACACAAATAATAACATCGCCATTAGAGTCAGCGGTACTTCACACACGGCTATGCTGAGAGACCGCCGCTGCAGACGGGCTAACGTTAGCCCTGGCTACCGGTAGCCTCAGAGGTCCGCTGGTTGCCGCGGCCCTCTCAACACTGTACTTTTTTTTTTAAATGCAGTAAATCAGTAAATTGACAATATAATGACGTTTAAAAGTATAATATTCTCGCCTTAAACGATCTTAAATCGTACTTTTGTAGAATGACAGCAACAGAAAAGAGAACTTTTAACTTAATACTCTGAGCTCTGAGCGCTAAGCTGGAAGCTGCTGCAGTGCATGCTGGGACAGCTGTCAGTTTGGAGTGTTAGGTATGACTGACTACCCGAACCGTCCCAGAAGCACGATCCGTCCTACGAATGCGCCATCAGCTCAATTTCACATCCAGGTCAAGATTTTATTTTGTTAAAAAGACCTAAAAGACGTTTATCCCTCCCCAAAAAAATTTAAGCATACTAAAATATAGTATGTTAAACATTGATAATGTATGTCCTGAAAACACAAGTTCCTTAAAATCCTTCCTGTTTTATCCCTCTGTGCCCGATCGGCACCGGAAATGGCATCCTACGCTACTTCCGGAAGCTACACTGGAAAAAATCGAAATCTTGATAAGACATTTTTTCTTTAAATAAGTGCATTTGTTCTTGAATTGAGGAGGTAAAAGAGACATTTTGCCAATGGAACAAGACAATTTAGATTTAAAATAAGAAAACACAATTACATTGTTTTATTTCAAGTGCATATTATCTAATTATCTTATTTTAAGAGTAAAAATACTCATTCCATTAGTAAACTATCTCATTTACCTACTTAAAGTAAGGATAAATGCACTTAATTTAAGAAATTCTTACTTATTTCTAGATCGTTTTTGCAGTGTACGTTTTTCGGCTTTGAGTTTAAACATAAATCTAGTCTTTTTCAGTTTTGTTAATATTATTGTATGTAGTGCGTAATCTAATGAAAGAACCAAATATGCAGATAAACATGGTTTAATCATATTTTGCAGACTGCTCTGAGCATTTCTGATGATGACGTCAGAGAAGCAGTTTAACAAAGAAAATGTAAAAAGTGTCAAAATTGTCTCACAAAAGTCATAAAACATTTTTTAAAGCTGTATATTAGCATTCTTTAGTGAGTTAAGGATAGAAATAAGTAATTTTAGTATCATAATTACATTATTTATGGACACCCGGATGTATATCTGTTCGCACATGCACAGGACGGATCGTGCTACCGGGATGGATTGGATTAGGGTTAGTGACACGGAGAACGGACAATTTATCTCTGATGCATGCTGGGTAAAGAGGGCGGGGTGAGAACAACATCCGGGGAATTTTTCCGTTCTCTGTCTTCTTGTTCTTGTGAATTGGAACAGAAGCTGCGCTGAGGCTGGTGACGTTTTTCGAGTAAACGAGTGCAGCTTTCAGACAGTTTTAAAAACATCACTAACTTTTTTCCTCCCGTCAGGCGGAGGAGTTTCGCACAGCCGTCCAGATGCTGCTGGAGTGGCTGTCAGAGGCAGAGCAGACGCTCCGTTTCCGCGGCGTCCTCCCCGAAGAGGCCGAGACGCTGCAGGCGCTGCTGCACACCCACCGGGACTTCATGGGCACGGTGGAGGAGAAGAGGTCCGACGTTAACAAGGCCGCTGGCATGGGGGAGGGCATCCTGACTGTATGCCACCCCGACTCTATCACCACCATCAAACACTGGATCACCATCATCAGGGCACGCTTTGAGGAGGTAAGGCTCGGATGCTTATCCTGGTTTAATGAGTTCAGATGGACGTTTGGGTTTTATGAAACCGAAGATCCAGAACCGATTAGTTCTATCTGTGCTGCACAGGTGCTGACGTGGGCCAAACAGCACGAGCAGCGGCTGGAGACGGCTCTGACAGAGGTGCTCAACAACGCCAACCTGCTGGAGGAGCTGTTGTCATGGTTACAGTGGGCCGAGACCACGCTGGTCCAGAGGGACACGGAGCCGCTGCCTCAGGACATCCCACAGCTGAAAACACTCATCACAGAGCACCAGGTGGGCTGGCGGGGACTCGTTTATTTTCCGAACGTTCAGTCTTCTCCTGGATTTGGTTAAATCACTGCTGATGTTCCTGTTTTCCAGACCTTCATGGAGGAGATGACCAGGAAGCAGCCAGACGTGGATAAAGTGACAAAAAGCTACAAAAGGAAACCAGCGGAGCCTCCCAGCAGCCTGGCTGAGAGGAGAGGAGCTCGTACGTCACCGTTACTCAGCCTCCAATGCTGTTTCGCCACAGCTGTAGGTTCATGCTTCACATTAAAGCCTCTGCTTCTCTCCAGGTAAACACCAGCAGCAGCAGCAGCACCAGCAGCAGCCGAGCATGCAGGTTTCAGGGGGAAACCCGCGCCTCAACCAGCTCTGCGCGCGCTGGCAGCAGGTGTGGCTGCTGGCTTTGGACCGCCAGCGTAAACTCAATGACGCTCTGGACCGGCAGGAGGAGGTGATCCTTTACAAGAAAAAAATTTATTTTCTTTAACTATGAACCAGCAGAACAATCTTTTAGAAAATCACTCAAAAGATTACATTTTTTGTATGCATGTGGCCTAAAGTTGAGATCATCACTCACCAAAGGAGAAGAAAATAGAACCTTTTCCTGATTAGAGGAAAAAATGCTTTAATTCGGATAATAAATGCTGAATACTGCGGGACAGAAAACTCTAGAAGTAACTTTTAATAAATGGATGACAGAACCTCTGAGTTTTTGGTACAAACGATTAAAAAGCCTTTATAATACGGAGGAGTGAAAGGCTAATGCTACAGTTTCCACTAGAGGAACTAGAAGACAGAAGAATGATTGGAGAGAGGATTGATTTCTAATATAACTTTAAAAATTTTCAGTCAAAATAATACACTGCAAAAACAACCTCAAAATGAGTAAAAATGTCTTAAATTAAGTGTATTTACCCTTAATTTTAGCAGATAAATAAGATGATTTGCCAATGGAATGAGTATTTTTACTCTTAAAATAAGGTATCTAGATATTATGCACTTGAAATAAGACAATGCAATTGTTTTTTCTTATTTTAAGTGTAAATTGTCTTGTTCCATTGGCAAAGGGTCTCACTTAAATATTTAATTCAAGAAAAAATGCACTTGTTTTAAGAAAAAATTACTTATTTAGATTTAATTTTTTTGCAGTGTAGGATTTTTTTTTCCTTGTCTTAAACTACAGCATCTGACTTATAGAACATAAAAAAAAAGAATCTTGTTGCGATCAATGTGAATGCAAATGAAGTAGATTTTAACTGATTTCCAGATTATACTCATCTCTATCAGGTATTTTTTAATAAATCAAGTCTTGAGCCTCAACTCTGGTTCCAATTTTAACCAAAAAATACCATATTGGAAAAAATGTTGCTGATTTTCTGTTTTAAATTCAAACAGAATTAAACTGCACTGTAAGAAAGTGAAATCTAGATAATTTTTTCTTAAAATAAGTGCATTTGTTTCTGAATTGAGGAGATAAAGGATGGATTTTGGCGACGGAGCAAGGTAATTTAGATTCAGAATTAGAAATAAACAATTGCATTGTCTTATTTCAAGCGCATATTATCTAATTATCTTATTTTAAGAGTAAAAATACTAATTCATTGGCAAACTATCTCATTTACCTATTCAAATCAAGGGTAAACACACTTAATTTAAGAAGTTTTTACTTTTTCTAGATCATTTTTCCAGTGTGTTACTACAACAAATTAATTAAACACTTAAATTAAAAAGTGTTAATTTCCCACATTTATCACAGGGTTTCCGCGGGTCTTAAAAGTCATAAAATTTTTATTTTTCAAATTAAGGCCTTAATTGGCATTAAAATTCATTAAATTATCGTGGCAATTAAAATTCTTTATTAAAAAAAATGTTTATAAAAACATTCCTTTATAAAAATAATTTCGTCAGATACATGATATTGCGATATATTTGCGCGGAACTTCTTCCGGTTGAACGTAAAGCCGTATTCGGAAAAGATGCTCGAGGTGGAGAAAAAGCTAGAGAATTGGAAAATGCATTAAAATAATTTCTAATAGCATTAAAAAGCATTAAATTAGAGTTACTCATTCCTGTTTAAGCGCTGTATCAACAAATCAAACTCTATAAATTAAATATTTGTAAATGTTGAGATGTCTTTTTTTTCTCCAGAACCGTTTTGTAACTCCACATAAATTTTGGTTTGCTGATCTTTGAGCTTCAGCTGATTAAAATCTAGATTAAAATGTTCGCAAATTGGTTTCAGATAAAAATGTGGAGCTGCAGATTTTTAGTACGCCTGATCAAAGCTGCCCCCTACTGGATGCAAGTGGTATGAAACATTAGGTGGATGCTGGCAGTCACGTCTGATTTCAGGGTAATCTACATACCGGTACGTAGCTCAACAAGCAGACTCCACCAGTAACCAGACAGCGGTTGGGTGATAATGACCCACACTGGAAAAATGATCTAGAAATAAGTAAAAATGTCTTAAATTAGGTGTATTTACCCTTAATATGAGTAGGTAAATGATATAGTTTGCCAATTAAATAAGTATTTTTACTCTTAAAATAAGATAATTAGATAATTTCCACTTGAAACAAGACAATGCAATTATGTTTTCTTATTCTAAGTGTAAATTGTCTTGTTCCATTGGCAAGATGTCTCTTTTATCTCCTCAATCCAAGAAAAAATGCATTTATTTTAAGAAAAAATCACTCATCTAGATTTCGATTTGTTCCAGTGGCAAAGATTGGTTAAAATAGAATCAGAAATGATTTAGCGAAGTAGTCGATCAGAGCCTGATTTTAAAAAATCTGATAATTGATCCGTCTTCCCCTAAAAGAGTTAATATTTGTTTTGTTGATGCATGTAAAATGTTTCATCTATTTGCAGCTCAGAGAATTTGCAAACTTTGACTTTGACGTCTGGAGGAAGAAGTACATGCGCTGGATGAACCACAAGAAGTCGCGCGTCATGGATTTCTTCAGACGCATCGATAAAGACCAGGATGGAAAGATCACGAGGCAGGAGTTCATCGACGGCATCTTGGCCTCCAGTACGTTCTCTGCTTCCCATCTAAACAGAGCCTCCCTTTCCAACTATAACATACACAGCAGAAAACGGTATAAATATTTGTTGCTTTTTTTCCCACCCTGATCAGAATTCCCAACCAGTAAGCTGGAGATGTCGGCCGTGGCGGACATCTTTGACCGAGACGGAGACGGTTACATCGACTACTACGAGTTTGTGGCGGCGCTTCACCCCAACAAGGACGCCTACAGGCCGACCACCGACGCCGATAAGATAGAGGACGAGGTACGGCAGAGACACGATGATAAAACCCCAGGATGAGCTGAGAGAAGCAGAGACAGAAACCCGGTTTGTTTGCTTCGCTGCAGGTGACCCGGCAGGTGGCCCAGTGTAAGTGCGCCAAGAGGTTCCAGGTGGAGCAGATCGGAGAAAACAAATACAGGGTGAGTCTCTGGATCCGTTCCCCACACCTTCTTAAAAATAAATGTTTAATAACGTGGGTCAAACTGTATTTACAGGAAAACTCAGAAACTGGTTCACTCTAACAAGTTTAACAATCCAGGAAAATTTCCCAGAGGGTTATTTTTCTTATTTTAGGTATTACATAATCAAACTAAATTAATTAAAGTTTGAATTATTACACAGGTGTTAAGATTAAATGAACTTTTAACATTTTGTCAGATTATTAATAAAAAAAAATGTAAGTAAAAAAACATGGAAGAGAACAGAAACTTGGTTGAAAATATAAAAATCTGACATATTTACATATATATTTATTTTCTATAAAAAACAGCATCATTAAACAGGCTATTATATGACACTATAGATGTGAAGACCTCTTAGGATTGTTAGAGAACGTTTGAAAGCGTTTGTTTCCATGGTGAAACATGGTGGTGGCACCATCATGCTTGATTACGCTTTGGAAGAAAGGCAGAGAACAGAGCAAACATGAGAAATCCCATCATTCAAAGGCCCTCCTTCTAATTTCAGTAAAGTTGAGAAATTTTGTGAGCAAGAATTGTAATAAATATTTACTGGTAGATGTTTAAAGGTTATGGAGATGTACTCTTCAAAAACATGCAGCTGTATCTTTAGTGAAAGGTTGAGGTCCATACTATGTAGAACCTGGTTTTTTTTAGCATTATAGATGTAATTCATGGTGTAAATCCCAGTAAAACTCCCAAAAACCTCCAAGTTTGCAGGTTATAATGTGACTTTAATTCAGTTTGGTTTATTCATATAGTGCCAATTCAACCAGATCATCCAGTCAAATTGATTCAAAGTTTTCTATCTAAGGAAAACCAGCTGATTGCATCGACTCGTAGGCAATCCCTCACACTAAGCATGCTTGTACCGACAGTGGGGAGGAAAAACTCCCTTTTAACAGGAAGAAACCTCCAGCAGAACCAGGCTCAGTGTGAGCGGCCATCTGCTGAGGCCCACTGGGGTTCAAGGAGACAGAANAAATCGAAATCTTGATAAGACATTTTTTCTTTAAATAAGTGCATTTGTTCTTGAATTGAGGAGGTAAAAGAGACATTTTGCCAATGGAACAAGACAATTTAGATTTAAAATAAGAAAACACAATTACATTGTTTTATTTCAAGTGCATATTATCTAATTATCTTATTTTAAGAGTAAAAATACTCATTCCATTAGTAAACTATCTCATTTACCTACTTAAAGTAAGGATAAATGCACTTAATTTAAGAAATTCTTACTTATTTCTAGATCGTTTTTGCAGTGTACGTTTTTCGGCTTTGAGTTTAAACATAAATCTAGTCTTTTTCAGTTTTGTTAATATTATTGTATGTAGTGCGTAATCTAATGAAAGAACCAAACATGCAGATAAACATGGTTTAATCATATTTTGCAGACTGCTCTGAGCATTTCTGATGATGACGTCAGAGAAGCAGTTTAACAAAGAAAATGTAAAAAGTGTCAAAATTGTCTCACAAAAGTCATAAAACATTTTTTAAAGCTGTATATTAGCATTCTTTAGTGAGTTAAGGATAGAAATAAGTAATTTTAGTATCATAATTACATTATTTATGGACACCCGGATGTATATCTGTTCGCACATGCACAGGACGGATCGTGCTACCGGGATGGATTGGATTAGGGTTAGTGACACGGAGAACGGACAATTTATCTCTGATGCATGCTGGGTAAAGAGGGCGGGGTGAGAACAACATCCGGGGAATTTTTCCGTTCTCTGTCTTCTTGTTCTTGTGAATTGGAACAGAAGCTGCGCTGAGGCTGGTGACGTTTTTCGAGTAAACGAGTGCAGCTTTCAGACAGTTTTAAAAACATCACTAACTTTTTTCCTCCCGTCAGGCGGAGGAGTTTCGCACAGCCGTCCAGATGCTGCTGGAGTGGCTGTCAGAGGCAGAGCAGACGCTCCGTTTCCGCGGCGTCCTCCCCGAAGAGGCCGAGACGCTGCAGGCGCTGCTGCACACCCACCGGGACTTCATGGGCACGGTGGAGGAGAAGAGGTCCGACGTTAACAAGGCCGCTGGCATGGGGGAGGGCATCCTGACTGTATGCCACCCCGACTCTATCACCACCATCAAACACTGGATCACCATCATCAGGGCACGCTTTGAGGAGGTAAGGCTCGGATGCTTATCCTGGTTTAATGAGTTCAGATGGACGTTTGGGTTTTATGAAACCGAAGATCCAGAACCGATTAGTTCTATCTGTGCTGCACAGGTGCTGACGTGGGCCAAACAGCACGAGCAGCGGCTGGAGACGGCTCTGACAGAGGTGCTCAACAACGCCAACCTGCTGGAGGAGCTGTTGTCATGGTTACAGTGGGCCGAGACCACGCTGGTCCAGAGGGACACGGAGCCGCTGCCTCAGGACATCCCACAGCTGAAAACACTCATCACAGAGCACCAGGTGGGCTGGCGGGGACTCGTTTATTTTCCGAACGTTCAGTCTTCTCCTGGATTTGGTTAAATCACTGCTGATGTTCCTGTTTTCCAGACCTTCATGGAGGAGATGACCAGGAAGCAGCCAGACGTGGATAAAGTGACAAAAAGCTACAAAAGGAAACCAGCGGAGCCTCCCAGCAGCCTGGCTGAGAGGAGAGGAGCTCGTACGTCACCGTTACTCAGCCTCCAATGCTGTTTCGCCACAGCTGTAGGTTCATGCTTCACATTAAAGCCTCTGCTTCTCTCCAGGTAAACACCAGCAGCAGCAGCAGCACCAGCAGCAGCCGAGCATGCAGGTTTCAGGGGGAAACCCGCGCCTCAACCAGCTCTGCGCGCGCTGGCAGCAGGTGTGGCTGCTGGCTTTGGACCGCCAGCGTAAACTCAATGACGCTCTGGACCGGCAGGAGGAGGTGATCCTTTACAAGAAAAAAATTTATTTTCTTTAACTATGAACCAGCAGAACAATCTTTTAGAAAATCACTCAAAAGATTACATTTTTTGTATGCATGTGGCCTAAAGTTGAGATCATCACTCACCAAAGGAGAAGAAAATAGAACCTTTTCCTGATTAGAGGAAAAAATGCTTTAATTCGGATAATAAATGCTGAATACTGCGGGACAGAAAACTCTAGAAGTAACTTTTAATAAATGGATGACAGAACCTCTGAGTTTTTGGTACAAACGATTAAAAAGCCTTTATAATACGGAGGAGTGAAAGGCTAATGCTACAGTTTCCACTAGAGGAACTAGAAGACAGAAGAATGATTGGAGAGAGGATTGATTTCTAATATAACTTTAAAAATTTTCAGTCAAAATAATACACTGCAAAAACAACCTCAAAATGAGTAAAAATGTCTTAAATTAAGTGTATTTACCCTTAATTTGAGCAGGTAAATCAGATGATCTGCCAATGAAATGAGTATTTTTACTCTTAAAATAAGATTATTAGATAATATGCACTTGAAATAAGACAAATCAATTGTGTTTTCTTATTTTAACTGTAAATTCTTTTGTTTCATTGGCAAAATGTCTCTTTTACCTCCTCAATCCGAGAACAAATGCACTTTTTTTTTTCTTTTCTTTTTTTACAGTGTCCTGTTAAAAATGCACTTATTTTAATAAAAAATTACTTATCTAGATTTAGATTTTTTCCAGTGTAACATCCAGCATCCTCGCCTGGATCTTCATCACCCCTGTTTGCTCCATCATTATCCTCAGGGTAATGATGTCCAGCGTCAGCCTGCGGGACACTGGAGACACTAACCGTCTCACCTCTTTATGTCTGCCTGCAAATGTCCTTTCTTTATCCACAGCTCTATATTATCATCACCATCATCATCATCTCATCCGGTCACATGACTAACGTCCAGCTTGGTTTCAGTCTGAGAGACGCAGCCGTTCAGGAAGATGTTGTTCTCGCCTTTATTCTGTGACGTTATGTTTCATTCTCGCTCTGTTTCTCCCCCCCCCCTCCCTCCCTTTGTGTCCCTCTGCTACGTGTCCGCCGGACTTTTTCTAGTTCTTCCTCGGAAATCAGGTAAAGTGCCAGCCGGCGGTGTGGACAGATAGGTGGAAGCTGCTCCCATGTTCGCCGCACAGGAAAATAAAAATCCCTTCTTCTGGTTAAACATGAAAAATCAGCTTGTTTTTTTTTTGGGTTGGAGAATAAAGAAGAGAAGCGGCGCTCCTCTGCGGCCGTGCGACGTGTTAGCAGCTTCCACCGTCCGCTTGTGTTCATGCTGTGATTTGTTTGACTAATTGCACAATGCGAGGCGAGTGACAGCGACACGGCCGGAGTGCTAATTAGTGGTTAGGTGAAAACGTGGCGTGCTGAAGCTGGGAAACGTCTAGAGGATTCCTTCTCTGCTGGTTTTGCTTGAAGTTTTGCTTCGCTGGGTGAACTTTCAACGATTTAGATTTTTTTTTTCTTTTTTTGGGGACATGAATTGAAATTGAGGCTGTGGTTTTTGGGGGCTGGGGTCAATCAGGGTCAGAATCGGTGCATGTCTGCATGAGTAGATTCAGGTTTGGTTGGTGGCTTTCTGGGTTTTAGATCTGAAACCATTTCAGCTGGATTCATTCTCTTATTCATCCTCTCTGAACCTCCTCAGTTCGGCGACTCTCAGCAGCTGCGTCTGGTCCGGATCCTGCGCAGCACGGTGATGGTGAGAGTCGGCGGGGGCTGGATGGCTCTGGACGAGTTCCTGGTCAAGAACGATCCGTGCAGAGGTGAGTGCTGCTCTCACACGGACAGGACTACGACCGACGCTCTGTCTCATCGTGTTTCACACATGTGGACCTGCAAGAGTCTGACTGGTTCTGGACCTTTGAGGTTAAAAGCCGAAAGGCTTTTGGGATTTTTCTTACTTTTATCAGCCTGTGTTTTTGCATTTTTGAATAAAAAGCGGCTAAAAACGTCCAATTTACAACAGATTCAGCAACGGAACAGAAGAAGCAAGTTTTAAAAATGAGATCTAAATTACAATACATTTGGGCTCCATTTCAGTTTTATTTGTCAAGCACTTATAAAACAAACACATCTCACCAAAATGCTGTACACTGCAAAAAATGTAAATCTCAATACGTCATTTTTTCTTAAATTAAAGAGGTAAGTGAGACACTTTGCCAATGGAACAAGACAATTTACATTTAAAATAAGAAAAAAAAAACTATTGCATTGTCTTATTTCAAGTACATAATATCTAGTTATCTTAATTTAAGAGTTAAAATACTCATTCCATTGGCTGATCATCTTATTTACCTACTCAAATTAAGGGTAAAAACACTTAATTTTAGATTTTTTTTACTCATTTTTAGATCATTTTTGCAGTGTACAGGGAAAAAAAATAAATAAAACATCACAGATAAAAGAAAAAAACGGGATGAAAGGATAAAATAAAGCCTACTGCCTTGCTAGGTGTCAAAAGCCAAAGAGATAAGGTGGGTTTTGACGAGAGATTTAAAAACATTCGGAGAAGAGGCCTTTCTGATGTGCTGAGCGGGTCCAGAGCTTTGAAGCTGCTACAGTGAAAGCGCCTCTGAGCTTCCGCTCAGTTCTGGGCTCGCTTAGGAGCAGCTGACCTGAGAGAGCGACAGGTTCTATAAGGATTCTCAGAAGGGCAACCATTCTGGGTTTTAAAATGAATTATGGGGCGAGCAAGACCTATATATGGAGGCCTTAAGGGCAGGCTATCCTCCCGCTGTAGGGTGTCGCAGTGAGCTTGTCGGAAGTATTTTTGATTTATGCCCAATAGAGACTGACACTAGCCTGACGTAGTCCTACTCAATTCTAGTCAGAATATGAGTCTGATGCTGCTCCATAGAGCTGTGATTATGGGGCGTGTTTTGAACGAACCAGGAAAAAAAATGCCTCTGCACTCAATTGGATAGACCTACAACCAATAAGAGCAACGGAGTGCGTGACGTATGTTAAGCCACGCATAGTTGTTGTCAACAAAAATCAAAGTGTGCAGTTTCACACCTAGAATAAGAAGATGAGCCTTGATCGCGTTTCTCTGTTCCTCTTTTAAAATTAATTTGCTGTCGATATCTTCTAGAACAGACCTAATAGCAGAATCTACTCACCTCAACTCTCCAGCGGTAGCCATTGTTGTTGTCACTCAAGCGCGCTTTGGTCACGTGGTTGATTACGTTACTGTTGATCATCTGTCCATCATCGTATAAAGCCCGCCCTGACAATTTGATTGGCCCGCCAGATATTGTGCGAGCATACTCGTGCTACTATGGAGCAATGCCAGACCGAACTTCCCGACCTCAAACCTTGTGGGCGGGACTAAGTTCGGAATGGCACCCAGGCTAGACTGACACCGGAGTGGATTTTCACTCCTGTCCCGTCCCACTCCCACAGAAAAAAATGGTGTCCCGCCCCGATCCCGGGCCAGAGTAGAAATCAAAATCCTGTCCCGTCCCACTCCAAGTGAAATTACTCCCACTCCCATCCCACTCCCATTCAGAATGACTCCCGCTCCTGCACCACTCCCATTCTTGTTTTTGAGCGCGGGTGAAAAACTCAGAGCGGAAGCACTGTTGGTTTTTGGGTCGTGTAGTTTTTTTGACTCGCATTATAGTGTAGGCTTCAAGGAAAAAAACTACAAAATGGCGGCGCCAGTACTGGATTTTTTTTCTTTGTATTTTATTTTATTTTTTGGCATCAATCCTAGTTTACTATTGGTTTGCTCCTGCTCCCGTTAATGTTTAATCCCGTACCATCCCAATCACATGATCGTTACTAATACTGACTCCCATCCCACGGGAATCCCGTGACCCGTGGGATTCCCAAAAAAATGTCAGTCTCTAATAAAGCGTGGTCTGCGCTATGTTTATTCCACGACGCAAGAGGAACAATCAGAAACTAGCTGTGGGTCTGTGAGAGACCGAGCCAGCCAAGCATGACGACACAGTGCTGATTGTCAAGAAAACTGGGTTTTATTTCTCCAAAGTAACAATAATCCAAACAGAAAATTCAGGGCCCTTAAAAGAGGTCAAACAAAGAGATTAACTAAGGGCAAAAAATATCAAGTTCAAACATATGAAACCTCAAACTAACTGAACAAACAAAAACTGAGGAAGAGGTAGGGAGAACATCTACACCAATTTAACAAAAAATATCTAAACAGTTAGCTTAAGGGTTAAACTTAAATGACAATCATTAAACAAATTAACAAAATGAGCAAATCACAAAAGTAAGAAGAAGAAATGATGCAACATATTTAAAATGTTGAGTCCATGGTCTCCCCCCCATAGTGGAACTCCAGATGGTACCACCCAATCAGTCCATGATCATGTCAGCCACATTCTCCCAGTTGATTGCACTCCCACAACACCAGAAAAGAAAGCACAAAATATATTAAGCATTTGACAAAATTAAATATACAAAAGTTACAAACCAATATATTTATGCTAGTGTGTATTAAAACTTATGAAAAAGTGGTTGTGTGTGGGGTTACTGACCATGTGACCATCACAGGGTCTAGATACGGCCGAGGCGGTGAGGAAGTGGGGGCAAGTTGGTGAGACAACGGAGGGACATGAGGGTGAAAAAGGGTTCTAACTGGTTCCATCTGGTCCGAGTCGATTCATCGGGTTAGGCTTCAACCAGTCCGGCTCTAGCGCTCTCACTGATGCATCCTGGGAAACATTTTTCAAGCTCCCTCTAACTTCCTGTCGTCCAGCCGTCTGTGAGCAGGGAATGCCGCCGACGTCGGTCGGTCCGTCTGTACTCAGAGTGGTGTCTCTCTCTCCCTCTCCGTCTCTTTGCCCCCCCTCCTCCTCATTTAAAGTCTTATTTCCGTGTAAACAGGCTTTTTCCTTCCCTCTGTCTCTCCGTACTTTCTGAAATTAGATCAGTACTGCATGATGCATGGTCCTCAGTTTTTCTCCCTCTTGCTCTCCTCCTCCTCTTTCTCCCTCCCTTTTTTATCTCTCCTCAGTTCAACATCCAGGACTTAAGATCCTCCGCTCCGATTCCAGTAGCTCCATCTCATCTCGTATAGGTTGGACTTCTCTCACATTTTCTCTGAGCTGCGTGTCTCTTTTTGTTCGGTTTATACCTGGATAGTCACCCCCAGGTGTCTCCTTCCTCCTCTTTTTCATGCTCTAACTCTTATTTCTGCCTCTATCTTTGTGAGTTTTTATTTATTTTGTTCGGGCTTGTTGCTGATTGTGATCTCCAGACTAACGTGATGTCTTCCCAGTCGCCCTGCTTCCTTCCCTTTGTCTGACCCAGCCTGTAAGCTTTGAGATCTTGAAATGTTCCAGCGTTTGAGGCAACAGACGCCCTCCCCCCTCCCTGCGTGTAGCTGAATTGTTTTTATCGGATGTTTCTGAGAAGTATCGACTCTGTGTGTGTTTTGTGCCAAACGTTCTTCATCCCGCCACGAGCATGCACTTATTTCACATTGTCTCTTGTGTGTCTCTCAGTGACAGTCACTCCTGGCTATTTCTGCTGCCGAGGTATCTACACTTCCTCTCTGTCTCTCACACCTTCTCATCTGTCTTAAAGCTCCATCTGTCAGCCTCCATCTTTAACATCAGCTGTCTTACATTTGTCCACGTTAGGGGTGGGAGGCAGAAGTCCGCCTGTGATACACGGCAGTCATACAATTGCTGCTTATTTTACAATCCTTAATTGCAGGCATCCCTAAAGTCGGTCCTCGATGGCCGCTTTCCTGCAGGTTTCAGAGGTTTCTCTGCTTTAGCACAGCTGATTGTGATGATTGCAGTTCAGCAAAAGCCTGTTAATCAACGTAAATCAGCTGTTCTGGAGCAGGAAAGCCTCTAAAACCTGCAGGACAGCGGCCATCGATGCCTGCTAAAGCGGAATGTCTCAAGAAAAGAGAAAATGGACGTTCAATCCGTCAGAAAATGTTAGAGATCTGACTCAGATAGCAGCAAACTGAAATTCCTGCACCAAACAACAAGGAACCAAAGAAGTGCCTTATTTAATAAATGATCAATGTAGAGCTCCAGAGTGTCGATCCATTGGTCCCACCCCTACTCCATCTATGTGTGTTGTTTCTGTTTTTTGTGCACAGACATGTTTGTCTCATGCTTTCTTCACTCGCATCCAAAGCAGGACTCGGCCAAACTCCTGGTCTTTTGTCCTAAAAAGCAGCTTAATGTTCTCTGTGGATTTGTTTTATTCACCATCTAAAGAGCGGGGGTGTAGTGCTGCAGGACGCTTTGCAGGAGGCAGGATTGGACTTCCAGTAGCTATGGACGGAGAGATTATTGCTTTAGATAGTTTAGAGTCTAACCTTGTTAGTTTTAGCTTAATATTTAACCAACGTTAGAGCAAGAGAGAAAGTGAAAAAATGAATCTAAGATGGCATTTCTCAGAGGTGGGTTGAGCTGACAAAAATTGCACTCGAATAAAAGTAGCAGAACTTCAACAAGTCATTCCAAAAAAGTAAAAAGAAAAACAATCCATCGGACTTTGAAGACGTTTCTCTTCCCATCCAGGAAGGTTTTTCAATTCAAAATGTCAGAAATAGCGTTAAGTTTGAGGCTTTAGAGAGTGGACCGAAAATAAGCCTTGTTTTGGATTAGAAACATGCAAATTGGAAACAAAGTCTGATCCACCGGACTTTGTTTCCAAAAAATCTTGGAAAATAAAGTCCAGTGAATTGCTTTTTTTATTTTTTTGAAATTACTTCACATGATCTTTGGGGACGTTCCAGCATTTGAATTGTTAAGCACTACATCCCTGCTGCGACAACCAGCTGCATTTACGGTTCAAACATGCTAAAACAAATGGTAAACTCCTGTTTAATATAATCTAGATAGAAGAGGGCGGAGTCTAAGACCTGGGCGTGGCCTGCCTTGGCTTTTAACGGCATTAAACGTGATTGCTGGTTGGTGGGAGACACAATTACAGGGTGCACCTGGCTGGCTGGCTTTATGTGGGGACGTGATTGCAGGCTGCGCCCGTTTAACCAGCCGGCCAGTTGCTCAGGACGATGGCCGCTCACTTTATTTTCTCTTTTAGTGTCTGTCCCGTCTGTCTTTTCAGTTTTTCTCCTCTCTGTCTCTCTGTGGCTGGCTTATTTGTTGTCTGCCGGCGCTGCTGCACCACTTTCTGTCCCAGAATGCTGCTTAAGTGTTTTCCATCAAAGGGAGAAAACCTGAACAAGCCTGACCTGCCCCTCTTCAGTAAATATTTATGCTTACGCTGTGCAAACCCAGAGGACCTGGGAGGCTCCTCTGCAACAAAAAGCACAAATTTCTCTAATTTAATCAAATACACAATGAAAGTGCAGCTGTCTTACAGCGATGCTATGAGAAACAGGTGTTTTGCTTTTATGGTTTTATTTAGATTTTGTATTTAAAGAGATGAAAAACAGGTTTTGCTCTTACTAACCAGGAGCCTTGACTTTCCTTCAGCCACTTAAACATCAATTCAGGTGATTTATTGTTGGAGCAAAGCAAACCTTTTGGTTCTTCTAGGATGAAGTAAACTCAAACGCATTTGAGCAAAGAAAGCAACAATCTTCTGTTTTCCATCGTGAGAAGATCCTGCTCTACATCCCGAGCTTTCCCTATAAAAGTTAAAAAGATTATTCTTGTTCAGATACGTCTTTTTTAATCTCATCTTATGATTTAGGGTTTTCTTTTGACCCCATAAATCATTAATGAAGGGAGAAAAGTAAGAGGGGGTGTAGATTAGGATGTTTGCAGATGATGTTGTGATGTTATAGTAGAGGGTGGTCAGAAAAGAGCTCGGTTTAGGCAGTGAGTGTTCAAATTACCGTAAATTCCGGACTATAGAGCGCACCTGATTACGAGCCGCACGCAATTTTAGAAAGAAAATCAATTTTGTGCTTTTATAAGCCACACCGGATTTTAAGCCGCAGGTTTCCCACGTTGTACGAGATATTTACAAATAAAGATATTACACGTGAGCATTTTTTTAACCTTTGATTTAATCCGTATGATAAAACAAACAAATACGGTACCTAATATGAATGCTTTTTTTTTTTTTTAACTACCTGTAACACATTTAAATATACGTATGTGTCGGTAACACGCAAATAACGCTGCATATATCTGTACTTTTAATTGAACAAAGCACAGAACATTGCAGCCGACCAGGAAAAGTCATTAATCACTTTCTTCTTCCTCCTGCGCACTAAAACCCTCAATCAGTGAATTTTGCGGCATGATAAAAAACATGTATTAGCTGCACTGTGTTCAAACAGCGCGAAAAAAGTAGTGTTTCATAGTCCGGAATTTACGGTATATCATTTATAAATGAGTTGGAGATGTTTGATATGGTGTAGAGGTGCTGAAGGTGGATGAGCTTTAGCACCATCTGAAATCAACCAAGAAGAAAGGGCAGGTAGGGAGGAACGGTGGTGGAGATTATTTAAGGAGGCGAGCTGTAAAGACTTTAGAAGATGGTCATTAGACCTGCTATGTAATAATTTGAGACGATGGACTTTAAAAAAAAAAAAAAGCTTGCACTGAAGAGGTTCAGGTTTTCTGTCTGAAAGCGTAAGACGCAGCAGGCACTGGGAAAAATCTAAATCTGTATAAGTTGTTTTTTCTCAAAATAAGTGCATTTGTTCTTGGTTTGAGGAGGTAAAAGAGACATTTTGCCAATCGAACGAGACAACTTACACTTAAAATAAGAAAAAAACAATTGCATTGTCTTATTTCAAGTGCATGTTATCTAATTATCTTGTTTTAAGAGTAAAAATACTCATTCCACTGGCAAACTGTCTCATTTACCTACTCATATTAAGGGTAAATACACTTAATTTAAGAAAATTTTACTTATTTCTAGGTTGTTTTTCCAGTGTGATGGTGTGCTTCACACAAGGACAGCTGGTTGGCTTTCGCTGCGTATTTTCTATTAACTCTGCGCCTTCCTTTGCACTTACACACCTTCACTTCCTCCTCCTCTTCCTCACAAACACAACCAAACTTCTGCTCCTCTGACCTCCTGAACTGCCACCTCTCCAAACACGCTCTGCACACGTGCACTCTCAAATGAAACACGCACCGACTGTGACGTCTGCAGCCAAGGAAGCACCGACTCTCTCCCTCACGCTGCTCGCTGCCTCTGCCGCCCCCTGCTGGAGGAGCTAAAGGAACGAGCTGACAAAAAAAAACTGACTTAATTCTTTTGGTTCTGTTTGCAGCTCGAGGTCGCACCAATCTGGAGCTGAGGGAGAAGTTCATCCTTCCTGAAGGAGCCTCTCAGGGCCTGGCCGCGTTCCGATCGAGGGGCCGGCGCTCCAAACCGGGCTCCCGTAACGCATCCCCCACCCGGTCCTCGTCCTCCGCCTCCCACAGCGGTGCCTCTCTGCCCTCGGCTCCTTCCACGCCCGCCACACCAACAGCTTCGGCATCATCCAGGGTAAGATTCTTTGCTTTATGGCCTCTAGATACGCCAAAATTCTACCTGGTAGGAGGTTAATGGACGGTGTCACCCTTTTAACCAATGAGATAAAATATCAAACAGGATCTACTGTAAGATGATGGAATGTAGTTTCCTGATGTTTTGGTCTTTGTATATTTTCGGTTAAATCAAAATAAAATGAAGCAAGTGATGTGTAAGCCTTTCTACAGGACTCCTGTCATGTAACAGATGTAAAAAATAAGATAGTTTCTGCATATTCTGGCTGTTGGAGGCAGTTTAGATTCAACTTTATTGTTATTACACAGGTACAGGTGCAACGAAGTTCAATTTAGGTCTAAACAGAAGTGCAATAGCAGCAAGTGCAGGATATGCAATGCTATTACTATAAAATGAATAAATGAAATTAAAACTTGGACAGAAGCTTTCTGAATTAAAGTGCCTTGGAAGGTAATCGCATACTACTACAGTTAAAGTTTGCTATTACAAACAATTGGTACCGTTTACATAAACACTTAACCTGACTCCGCCAGATGGATTTGCTCCGCATATCCATCTGGAAACCTTCCGTTGAAGTAATTTTGGGAAGGGGCGAAAATATTGGTTAGCTGATTGGCCTATGTTGGTGATAGACGGGCCAAATAAACCAATCAGATCAACGAAGCATATGACGTACTAACAGAGCGACGACGAAAACACAACCACAAGCCAGGCTACTCTTGCCGAAACCAGTCGGGAGAAGAGCAAAAACATCTTTTCCTCTGAGAAAAGCCTCCAGAGCAGTGTTTTGCTCTTCTTTCAGTGAAGAAATACTCTGTAATTCCGATAAAACTTGCTCGATAGCCACGCTAACGCTAGTTTCATCGGCTGAAGCCGCCATGTTCTTTAGACTGAACTGTCGCGCTTCTCGTTGCGTCACACCTCAACCCGCCTCAAAGCCAACGCTGATTGGACGTTCGTTTGGTGAACGGCTCCAAATTTTCTTTAACGGAGAGTCTCCAGACTGATCTGCGAGTGAAACCTTGAAAGCTCGCGAGATCAGGATGGTCTCACGAGGCTAATAAACACTGACAATAGCGAACTTTAACTGTAATATGCAATAATAAGCTGATAGTTTCTGTATATTCTGGCTGTTAATGGCAGCTTGTTGCTTCCCTCACTCTTTTCGTGTTACTTTACCTTTAGAAGCAACTCAGATTTAATCAAAGTTAGAAGATTAGGGAATTTAAAGAGTTTTAACAAAGCAGATTACCAAGTAAACCAACTGGATTCATCCTCATCAAGTCAACCAGTAGGAGGTGTTTGTTTACACGTGTTTTTAACTTGTGACCTCTGTTATCCTCTCCATTCATCCACTCTGTTCGTACTGCATGAGAAGCATTCAGGTTCATCCGCCATCAGGATTAAGATCCTCTGCCTGTCATGAAATGATATGTTATGATAAAACAAACGTCCTCTGGCTAATTTTTGTTTAACTAAACATGAACTACATCACCTCTAATGAACCTGCTGAACCGTTTTCTGCCAGTTATTCTACTAACAGTTCATCGGAAAAAAAAATAATAATTTTCAAATCTTTAGATCTGTGACGTTTATACAGGAGCCTTCTAGCAGGCCTCAGTTAGAAAGCTCAATGTTTAAGCTTAAAGCAGGACCCTTAGATAAAGACTAAAAGCTGTTTATGTTCAGAAACCAGGTCGCCTGCGTGTGTGCCGCAGGTATCGCACTCTGAGGCACCTCTCCAAAATTGTAGGCAGGAGGATTCTGATTATGGGCGTAAATAATAATTGATCCAACAGCCGACAATCTGATGCATCGATACGTCTGCAAGTGTATCGATTTGTTTTTTTTCCTCCGGTCTATTTTTATCCATTTGCTCCTGGGCGTAATTCTCCCTCCCGTGCTGCGGTGGCGCTAAACCTATTTTTCCCTCCTACCTCGCTTCCTGGTTATACTCTTACAGCAGTGTGTTGCAGTGAGCTTGACACAGACATTTTAGATTTATGTCCAATATTGAAGCGTGGTCTGTGCTACACACTGTGGGTCTAGATACGGCCAAGGCGGCGAGGAAGTGGGGGCGAGTTTAGTCCGACGACGGAGGGACATGAGGGCCAAAAAGAGCGGAGATCCAGGTGGAAAAAGGGTCCCAATATTGGAAGGCAGGATGGTAATCTGGATGAACTGACTGTAATGTTTAAGTTTTCAGGTGGATTTTCCCACTTAAAAACATATTAAAACTACTTTATTCCCACTGATCACAGCAAATATAGCTGCAAGGCAAAGAGAGTAGCTCCGCCTAATGCGCGTCAGAGCCACTTTTGCGCTGCGCAGCCAGAGCAGCAGAGCTGCTTCAGACGCGAGTCAGAACTAACTGGTTTGCTGCGTCCGCTGTGAACGCAGCCTTACTCTGAACGGCCGGTTCACACCGATGTCGAGCGGTTGAAGTTCGAAGCACAGCGTTCATTTGTTTCACCATGTTTTTCACATCGGCTGTGAGATGGGCACGCATGGAGTCACAGATTAACATCGATGGTGATGCGTGGAAAAAAACTACCTGGTCTCCTTACATTCACCTCATCTCCTCAATGAGGAGATGAGGAGTTCTGCATAAAGCACATACCTGTACTTTTATAAACAAGCCACGCCCACACTTCCCCCTTTAACGTTCTCATGGTGGTCTCAAAGGTCCGCAGTAACAACACACATAGGGCGCACCACACATTTTGAGGGGAAAAAAAAGACGTTTATATGCTCCTTATAGTCGTGAAAATACGGTATATATATAGATATTAAGGCTGGGCAAGTTAACTCGTTATTATCACATTAATTCATCAATCAATTAACGCTGACAATTATTTTATCTCGTATTAACGCATTTTATATTATTTCTTACTATAAAAGTCTGTTGCTCCCAGGCTTTTATTTGGTAAAACTAAAAGTACCAGAAATGAAAAAGAAAAGAAATTGTTGAATAAACAAACCAACAAACATGGAGAAGGGTACGCCACTTTTACATGGCCATTTTCATTTTAAAATTCTTTCAGACGGCGCAGTCAACAGAAGCAAAGTTATTTGTAATCACTGCAAAGTTGAATTGTCTTATCACCGATGTTCTTCGAGTCTAAAATTCAGGTTAACTGCTACTGTAAAAACAAAATGCTGATGTTAAGTGTTTGCAGAACAAATGTTATGACACTTCCTTTAATATGGCAGAAAATTTTAAATAAAATTGTGCTATACACTACTTTTGAATTCATTATTGTTTTTTTTTTATAAAAATGTGATTAATCACAATTAATCAGGGAAATCATGAGATTAATCGCGATTAAAACTTTTAATTGTTGACCAGCCCTAATTATGGAAGCCTGTTTCCGCCACTCTGTAAAAAAAAATTAAATAAAAAATTATCTCATTATAAGGAGAAAATTATTATTTTTTTTTTTACAGAGTGGCGGAAACAGGCTTCCATACCTAATAGATATACTTTTTTATCCGTTTTTACGGCACTAGTGGCTCGTTTTTCTGACAGAAGGCTGACCGGAGGGGGGGAGACATGCGTCAAAGGACCACGGGTCTGATTCAGACCCGGGTCGGCTGCCTCTAGGACTTAGGCCTCCATATACGGGTCGTGTGCTCTAACCACTGCGCCACCTGCATGGTCTTCACGCCGTCATTTACCCAAACTGCATCCTGAACTGGAGCGTCATCCCAAACAGGAGCAAATCAGATGACCAGAAAAGTAAAGAATCAAGGCGTTGCAGTGGCCTAGTCAAAGTTAGGACCTGAACCAGATTGAAATCCTGCAGCAGGACTTTAAAAGAGTGCCTGACTAAAATAAAACCACCACAGCTTCACCGTTTTTGAGTTTTGCAGAAAAAAAACTGACCCAGTATATTTTGCTGGTCTTTATATAAACGGCGTCAGGTTGCAGACGCAGTGAAGGGATCAGGTTTGTCTCAGGCTGTAGAATCAGAGGAGGACCGGTTTCTGACCCGGCGGCAGGCGGATGGCGCTGAATGCTCCGTGGTGGTTTGTCTGAATTTGATGCAACTTGTTGCCTTTTTATTGTCGTCCTCTTGTTGTTAAAAGTCACCACATCCTTGACTGTGAAATTTTATGTTTGTTCTTTGTTTTTGTTTTTTTCTGTTACCTTTTTGCCTTTTCTCTCCTGTCATCCAACCCTGCTAACATCCCATTAAAAACCTTCTTCCTGCATCGTCTGATTCACTGTTAAAAAACCCAAAACAAATCACCATTTCTGCTGAACCGCTGTTACACAACAACACGCTGCGCTGCTCTTCCTCGCTGTCCAAACCCCCTCTTCCTCCTCCATAACCCGCTCCCCCCCTCCTCCTCCCTGTGTCCCCTCTTCCCCCTGCGCTGCTTGGCTCTGCTCCCCCCTCCCTTTTCCTCCCCTTCCTCCCTTCAGTCCTCCCACACCCACTCGCGTGACTATGCCAAGCCCTGGCTTGCACACAGTAAAACTCCAACGCCATCCAAGTGCCACTGCTGCCCAGATCTTGGTCACAACCACAGCGCTCCTGGGCACGAGGTAACGCACTCACCCCGAAACCCACCCACCCACTCGCCTCCCCCGTCCCACCCCGACCCGCCCCTCTCAGCGAGCTAATGCACTAACATTCGGGCGCTCGCACGGCGCCATGTGGAAGGCTTAAAGGCTGCTTTAAGTAAATCCTGTCTGGACGCCTGTTTGCATCAGATAGCAGAAAAATGATTTAAAAAGACTGATTACTGTAAAAATATAGAACCTGCCTGTTAGATTGTAAGAATAACTTTAACGTTTATTTTTAAATAGCTTAAAAAAGGGATAAAACAATGTTAAACTAACTTTTCACCTCAGTCATTTTTTTATTGGTTAATAAAATATACATTTACTCTAATAGATATAATATTTTTATTTTATTTTTTAGTTGGCAGCTTATGTGGTTAATTCTGTTTCGCTTGTTTGCTAAAATGATTTATATAAATATATGAAAACATAAACCAGGATTTAGAACAATAATAAACATTCTAGATATAAACAAAAAATATGTATTAGAACTGAATTTTTTTTATACTTTATTTAAATAAAGAGAAATAAATGTTCAGCTAAATAGAGAAGCAGTTTGTAAAATGTGAATTTATTGCATTATCTGTCAACTTAATATTTTTTTTTTATTCTAATTTGTTTATTTTTGTTATGTAAATGTATAGTTTCAAAATAATAAAGGAAAACATATTCATTTTTTGTTCTTTTTAAGACTAAAAATGTTTTATCCTACAGTGAAAAGAAAAAAAAAAATTAAGAAAACAGCATTTTTGTATCAGGTTTCCATTTTTAACCACCAGATCGGTTGTTACCATAACAACCTGTATGATCTGATAAATAAAAAATCCCCAACTTTAAAATTCCTCCAGTTAATGCTTTAAATAACTTAATAATTTAACAAATTAGTCTCATAAAAATCCTGACATGATACATTTTATAAAGTGCAATTAAAAATGTTTATTTTAAAAAAACTATAGAAATTAGAAGTTATTTTTTTAGAGAAGTTTTTTTTTTACTCATTTTATCAGATAATAAAATATCTTATTAATCAGATAAAAGCTTTATTCTGCAGTAGTAATTGTCTTGTTTTATGTTGTGAATTAATTAACCCGACCTTTCTCTGTTAGACTGTAGCATTCAGAAGAGTGTAGCTGTGTTTGTGTCTATTTATTTTAGATCTATGTGTGTCGCTATGTGTTTTTGTGTAAAAACTGATCCAGTTTTTTCTCTTGGACACGCAGCTGTTCAATAAAACGGCAAAGTCATCTTTGCTGTGCTTTTCTGTGTTCTCCTGCAGGGGGCGCCGTCCGGGTCCAAACTAAAGAGGCCCCCGTTCCACTCGAGCCGAGGCTCGCTGACTGGAGAGAACGGAGGAACGCCGCACAGCAGCAAACGCACAGGTGGGACGAAGCGTCATGACCACGTTGACCCGGTTCTGTTAGAACTGTCAGCTGACCTCACTACACACTCTGTGACAGATCCAAAGCGAGGGGCGGCGACCGCCAGCGGCCCCACCAGCCGAGCCGGCAGCAGAGCGGGCAGCAGGGCCAGCAGTCGCCGCGGCAGCGACGCCTCGGACGCCTCCGAGCTTCAGGACTCTCGTTCCGTCTGCTCAGACACTTCGGACACGCCGCGGCGGCCCGGCAGCGGAGCCAAACCTTCCAAGATCCCGACTATATCAAAGAAGGCCCCCAGCCCAAAGACCCCGGGGTCTACAAAGAAGTAAAACCTGTAGAAACTTTATTCCTGGTGATTCCTCCGTTAAGAAAGGCCGGGCTGCGTCTGCTGGACGTCCATCCAGAGGGCTTGTCTGCATATTCTGCACTAAGACTGATGGTTTTTCAGGGAAAGAAGGAGACGTTGATCTCGATCTCCCTCTCTCTCCTTTCCCAGTCCTGAAGGCCTGTTAAGATGCACAAGAGGAGAACGGTTCTGGTCCGGTTCAGGTCCAGGCCAGAATCTATGGGGTCAACGCCAACTTTTCCCCTTTAAGACCCCAGTTTGCCTTCCAGTCTCCTCCACCTCTTAAGACGTTCCCTGAAACACGGACTGACGTGATGCTGCCTTACTTTATGTTACAAACTTTTGTCCCGATCCGACGGGGGGAGGACAGACTTCAACCTGCTTTATACTGACAAACACACATTTCCTGGGAGAGGCGGGGCAGAGAGTGGGGAGCGCTGCCACCACAGCTACACAAACAGAAAAAGAATTGTGGGAGAATTATTTTTACTTGTGGTCCAGATGCCTCAAGGATGCGTCAACAAAGAAAATATGCAACGACTGCCATGTCGCTTCCTCTGGACCGATTGGCGAGAAAACAGTCACCTCAGCAGTGGCGAGCTGAGGAGACGCAGTGAGACACACACACACGGTGGAGCTGGTGCAGCTGAGGGTAAAAACTCACTGAAGCACCACACAGCGGCCTACCCCCCCACCCACCGCTGGAACGCTCCCCTCAGCCACATGCGTGCATTTCAGCAAAGGGCGGCGCGTTTCTTTTCTTTTTCCCCCACTCTCACCCAGAATTCACAAGCTAGCAATAGAAAGGACTCTTATGGTGACAACTAACAGCACATTACTGACAATACGCCACACGTGTAACCTTAACGTGACGTTAACATGCGTGTTCGCAGAGTTCGACAACCAGCATGCACTAACTCCCCCCCCCCCAACGCTGCACAGAAAAACACTCACATGTACCGTGTGTCTGTTACAGGAAGCAGCAGAGGTCATTTACTTGAGTCACTGTATGCAAAAAAAGATTAATTTACAAATGTTTTTTCTGATTAATTTATAATCCTGATGGACTTTTTGTTGTTTAGCTTGAAATACAGGTTTATTTATTTTCAGTTTTACGTCATATCACCGTCGGCAGTGCGTGGTTTAGTATTATGGTTAAAGAAATTCAGTTTTCTATCATGAAGATGTCCACTTTGCTTTTTTTTTGACATGGTTTGTGTGTAAAAAGTGTGTTTCTACTCTGTTGTGAGATTACATTACTCACCAGGGCGCCCTCTAGTGGCAGCCTTGTTAGGTTTTTCTTTATGGCTAACGACTACATTTTCCTGACCAAAGGGGTTTGCCCTTCATGCGTAGAGATGAACCACAGATATGAATGATGAGGGGGGAGGTCGGACTGAGGGGGGAGTCTCTCCTTTCATGTTCTCTCCTCCCTAGAATCTCTTCAAGACTTTTCCTCAAGATGTCCCGTCGTGGACGGGGCAGAGTTATCGAAGTGTTTTTTGTTTGTTTTTTTCAATCTTAGAGATGAAGTTTATGGAAACTAATGAAATTACATCAATAAGACATCTTAAGGTGATTTTTATTTATTTATTGTCTCTCTGAGGGGAAGGGATGAGGGTCTTTATGGTGGAGATGATTAGTCCACCACCTTTTTGATGCTGCACTCCTCTCTGTGTGATGAAGTCAATGTGGAGGGGGGGAGGGGGGTGTTACAGGGAGTCACTTGTGTAAAATTAAAACAAACTAAAATTATAAACTTTTTTTCTGTTTTTGTATTAAAAATTATGCTTGCAATAAAACAGTCTTTGGTGTTTTTATTTGAATCTGAAACTCATCAGAGCTGCAGAAGTTGTCTTGGAGAGGTTACGATTTGGAAATTTTGTAATAAAATTATTGCCGATCAGTGCAAAGTGCAAATGGATCCAGTTTGAAAACGAATTTAGTCTAAACACCCCCAGAACAGTGAGGG